GATTGGTCTCCATTGCACGGTGCTCGTGTTGGTCGGCCATTCCATGCATGGGAATGTGATCTCCGAAATTTTTGGCGCTACAAAGCAGCCACCCTAAAGCCAAGTGGCCCGGCAGCTGGTCAGCGGAAGCTGTGAGTGTGACTCCGGAACCCCCCCCAGGGGACCTTCATGCCTACAATCGCTGCCCTCCTCTCCGCGGCCGCCAGTCGCACCTTCGCAGCCAGCCTTTTGTTCGAAGACTCCGCCAACCACTCCAACATCGATACCAGCCTCCCTGAGCTCAGCGACCTGCTCCCCCAATGCCCAGAGCCCCCAGCCCATTCAAGACTCCCAAGCCACTGACCCCCCCCCTCCTGGGACTTTGGATTTTGGACTTTGCACATCTGGGGACAGGCCCGTATAAAAACTGTCAAAGCAGCCACCCGACCGAACTCACGCAGAAAAAGGCGCGAGGACCAAAAAAAAACTGGCAGCCTCACATCTGTTGGACACGGTGTGATAGGCCGATCAAGGGCCCAAGATGGTCGAGGAGTCTTGGGACATGCCCCCGGTGTAGACATGGTGGCAATGTATGCAAATGACACAATGATGTTTGAATCTTTACACATTGAAAGTCAATGTCAACGATGCTTGTGGGTCAAAGCCGGGTGTGCAACAATGAAAATATGCGAAGTTACATGACAAGCACTCATATCCCATGTTCATCTAAGATGACACAACACAAACGAGAAGTGTACAAGGCCGTTTCTATTCGAGAAAAGAGCCCGCATGGTATAGCGGAGCCTGAGAAGCTCCCTTAGGTGGGAATTGGCTCCAGGTTGAGCGTGCCGAGCCATAGGCAATCAGAGCTAGAGGGTTCCCCACCTACGCGATCGCTACATCCCGTGGGACCACATCCACCCGATCTCGAAGGCCCTTGTGTTTGAGGCAGGCACGAAGGTTGGACTATGGCTCGGGGTTCACCGACTTCAGGTACCCAGATGGCCAGGAGATTGCCCTGCGGATGATCCAGGTTGCTGAGGCGGTTTCGGTGGCGGCTCAAAGTGCGGCAGGGGGCTCTAGGCCGCAGGTCTGATGGAGATTGACCGCATCAAGGGCAAGGGCGATGGAAAGAGCAAAGGAAAGGGCAAAGACAATGAGCGCAAGGGCAAAGGCAAAGGAGATCAGACCAAAGGTGGAACAGGAAAAGGTAAGACCTATGGCAAGGGCTATGATGGTGGTGGCAAGTCGCAACCCAAAGGTGGCAAGGGTGACCAGCAGAGAGGAAAAGGCAAGTTCGAGCAGCCAGTGAAGACATGCTTCACTTGCGGCGAAGCAGGTCACTTGGCTAGAGATTGCTGGTGAGTTCGACAGGTAAGTGATGAGAGTGGACAGAACAAGGGCAATGCAGAGACAGCAACTCAAGCCTCCACAGGGACTACAAGCCAACCAACAGTTACAAGAGTCTCACAGGAATTCGGCGAAGAGCCAGTTGTGTTCGACTTGAGGCAAGGCGGAACTGGAGGGACATCTTCTTCAGTGAGGGTGGTTCAGTTCTACAACATTATAACATTGCCGGAGAGGAGGAGATGACTTCATGTCGTGAAGACAAGATGGTGCTCAGTGTCAACATGGTCAGGGACCAGTCGAGCGAGTTTGAGATGGCTGAGAATGACGAGCCCGTGAACATCATCATCGACTCGGGTGCAGATGCTACGATTCTGCCCAGTGGCTACCTTGGAGTGGGAGTTGAGGCCGATGAGGACGAGCCTACGCTTCAGGATGCGCAAGGAACTTCGATAGTCACCAAAGGCTACCGACATGCCTGTTTCCATTTGGAGGACGAGAATGGCAAGCGCATCCAGATCTATGACAAGGCGCACTTTTCAGATGGCATCTCGCAGCCAATTCTCTCCTTTGGCAAGCTGCCCGAAGGAGGATGGAGCATCGATGGGGGGTCAGTGCGCAATGACCTATGGAGTCGAAGGAAGCAGGTTGAGGACTCCGGTTGGATTTTTTGCTGCACTAGTGTCATGCAATGACAGGAGATGGCCACAGAGTTGGAGAGCGACAACATGAGCACTTCCAGGAGCAGCACTTTGAAAAGGGCCGCATCATGAAGATGGCAAAGTTCCTCAACGACAGGCTGGTGATCGTTGGCGGTCTTGAGCTGGCTGCGGGACCTCGAGTAAAGCCAGCGATGCCGCCGACATACTGGGGGTTCTGCATCTTCTTGCTCACATGCACTCCAATCCAGCGGTCGTCCATCTGCTTCCAGCCAACCTGCTGCTTCACCTTTTGCTCCAGACCTCCCTTCAACTTAGCCTCCAACATCCTCACCACATGAGGTCCACATGCAATCGCCCTCACGTAGCCTTCTGCTGTCAGGCTTTTGTTCTGCAATGTCCACGATGTTGAATGCGGTACAAACCTGGCGGACAGGCTGCCCATCAGCAACCTTGTCTTGACACCATAGAAGTTTCCCGCTCAAGTGTCTCAATTTCCGCTTCCCCGTTTACACGCAATTTGCTTTGTTGCGGAGTTGTCAACCCAGCTGACATGCTCGACCTCCTCCCGCATCAAGAACTCGAGGCTGTGGTTGGAGGTCCCATCACAGGCTCCTGCCAGAGAGCATTGGGCAGAACTGAGACTTATGGTCTTCTGTCCTCGTGAACTGCTGTGCACAATGAGGCCATTTACCGCATGCACTGCCGATGAAACTGATCTTCTTGCAGCCTTGCATCCTGACCAGTCTGCATCGCTGAAGGTCTCGAGGATCCATCCTTTTTCACTGGGTGTTCATACCCTCTTCCCTCACTGGGTTTGGGAGTAGGATGTGCTGATGCTCTGTCTCCTTGAGGTAGCCCACCAGTTTGCGCATCCCCTGTATTGTCACTTCGGTAGGACTCGACATCTTGCTCGCCATCCCCTTGACAGAGTAGGCCCTGTGTAGGCGATGTCCAACCTCTCCTGAGCCAAATAAATGCCAATTCCAGTGATCGAACGAAATGCTGATGCCTCTTGTGGTCCCACCAAGTTGGAATTGTCAGCGTCCTGGATGTCGGCTGAGGCTGGAAGTCTCTGCTTCTTCACCGTCCCACTCAAACAGTGCAATCACCTTGGTCACCTATCAGATGCTGCTGGACATGTTCAAACCAGGCTTTAGCTCCAACACGTTGACCTGGTAAGTTTCTCAGCACCTTGTACTTGCCGATGTTTGTTGAGATCTGCAAGGGTCTCTCTTGAGGCACCTGCAAGAAGGCGTCCTTGACATCCAATGATCCAACGATCGCTTTCCCGTGGCTGTTGTCAAGCTCTTGGTCCATTGCCCTCATGTTCAGGAAGATCAAGGGCAACAGTCTGAGAGAGTAGCTCCCATTGCCTGGACTGTAGACGTCATCTCTCTTCTCATTCGCGAACTTTCGGGCAACTAGCCTGGATCGTCTCAGCCACTTCTTCTTTTTGGCGCCGTCCTCATTGATCTTGGTCTTGATGCGCCAATCTTTGACGAACTTGCTTGTGCCTTTGTCTAAGAAGATGTCCTCCATCTCCAAGTCAGCAATCACCCCCATTCGCTTCAGTGACAGAATCTAGCACCAATCAAATGACATGATCAGGTCATGTGGTATCAGACACGCATTGGCATGCACTTGTACTGCGCACCAGGCCCAAACGAGCACGCAAAATAGAGTGCACCGCTTTTCATGGTAGCGGAGCTCTACCGGGCAGCCCCCGGTATCTCCAACAAATCCCTTGTGGGGTGATCTTTGGGGGATAGGAAGGTCCACCTGAAATCTCCGGGTGGATACTACTGGTTGGGGTCACGCTCATGGCATCGGATGGAACTGGCTTGGAGCAAGCCACTGGTGGAGATGGTGGAGCTGCCGCTTCACAGGCGGCCAGCGCTTCGAATGGAGTGCAAGGACTGGTGCAAGCCCTTCATGGTTTGATAGAAGTCCAAAAGAGTTCAGGGTCACAAAGCATGTGAGGCCTCCAACAAGTTTTCAACCAGAAAACAGAAGTGAAGAGCTTAGCAAATGGATGGACTGGAGGTTCCAATTCGAAACGTTCGTGGGAGCCGTCGATGCAAGCATGCTCAACCACATGAAGCATGCTGAGAAAGAAGAAAACCCCATCAATGATGGCAACCCACAGATCCGAGCCCAATCCGAGAGACTGTATTCGCTTCTCACTGGCCTGATGAAACAAAGGCCACTCAGACTGGTTCGAGGAGTGAGCAATCAGAATGGCCTTGCAGCTTGGAGGATCCTGACTAAGGATCTGCAGCCCAGGACTCGCCAACGAAGCTTAGCACTGGTTCAAGCCCTCAACAAGATCCAGTTTGATGCCACCGAGTCCGTGACTGAGCAACTTCCCCAGTATGACTTCCTGGTTCGTGAGTATGAAAGAAGTTCACAGACCACCTATCCAGATGATTTGAAGATAGCTTCAGGATCCACATACAGATGGCTTTGCAGGATGACACGACCTTCGAAGACCTGAGACAGAGAATTGAGCTCTATGAACAAGTCAGCCAACAATGGATGTCTGAAGGTGGCCTGCAGCTGTCTGTACGACCTATGGCTGAAGTGGAGGACAAGGGTGGACCGATGGAGGTAGATGCGGTTTGGTCAAAAGATGGTGGAAAGAAAGGAGGCAAGAAAGGAGGGAAGAAAGGAAAAGACAAAGGCAAGCACCAGAAAGGAAAAGGCAACTGGTTCAAAGATGGAGGAAAGAAGGGCAAAGGAGGAAAGCCGTTTGGCAAAGGTGATGGAAAGAAGGGCAAAGGCATGGGCACTTGTCACAACTGTGGCAAACCAGGCCACTATGCCAAGGACTGTTGGTCCAAGAAGGTGAGACGAGTTGAAGAAGAGGTGCAAGATGCAAAAGGGTCAGCAACTATGATGACAATAGATGGCCAGACCTCGGCGTCAACTGGCAGCTCAGCCCACACCGGAGGACGTTCGGCGACTGCGGGAGTCAGGCGGGTCAGACTGGTCACGCCGACGGGATTGGCCACTATGGAGATTTTTGATCTCACTCAGGATGACTCCAATGAGGAGCAGCAGGGACTCGAGTCAGATGATGAGGACTCGAAGCTGACCATTTTTGCAGTGTCTGAGATTGCCGAGACTTTTGAGGCAACGAATGACGAGGAGATCTTCTATGACTGTTGTGATGGTTTGGAAGATGAGCCCAGGACTCCATCGATGGAAGAGACAGATGCCCAGAGCTCAGGAAGCATAGATGGTGAACATGCAAAGACGGCAGATGAACCGATGAAGATTTGCATGATCAAGAATGTCGTGGCCTTGGAAGTTCCCTCCGTCATCATGACGATTGACTCCGGGGCAGATGTGTCAGTGGCCCCTGAGCGTTTCTACAACTTGGGAGTGCCAGGTGCAGGCAAGCCCATCGAGATGATCGACGCTCAAGGAGCCAAGATTTGTAGCAAGGGAAATCGCCGGCTACGACTACAGGCACAGACCCGAGATGGTGATGTGATTGAATTCATTGAGCAGTTTGCATTGGGCGTTGGTGTGACCCATCCACTTTTGAGCGTTGGACGTCTTCTGAAACAAGGATGGGGACTTTCCAAAGATGATCATGGTCTTTTTCTAGAACACCCAGAGAAGACCGTGAAGATTCCTGCACGGTTGGAACGGAATTCACTCGTCATGGACGTGAAGATTTGCGCAGTTCGAGCTGAAGGTGATGAACCAGATGAACTACAAGTCATGGCAGTGAGTGGAGAACGAGGAGTTGCAGTTGAGGCTGGAGTGGACACACAGCCAGCAGACGAAGTGCCTATAGCAGCATCAGGTGATGCCGCCGCAGCAGCATGTGACAAAGGTGACAAGGATGATGATGATGATGATGTGACAGTGGAGTTGATGCAACAACTCTCAGAAGAAGGTGATCCTGGTCGAGGTGGAGTTTGTGGACGGTCACCTGGCTACACGACAGAAGAGTCAGGTGAAGTGGAAGTGAAGGGTAGCAGCAGCGAGGACGGCCGAGTGAAAGAAAGGTTGGCTCGTTGGGAAAAGTGGCATGGCAAGCTTAAGGAGGTGAAGAAGGGGCCAGTTGAATTGTCAAGCCCCGAGGAGCAGGTCCGACCAGTTCGTGGAGCACCCCGGCAGTTGCATGGCTACATATCACGTGAACTGGGATTGTTGGAGGGGATTCCAGGCTGGCATGCATTACCCAACGGGATTGTCGTTCATTCGAAGCCAATGGCCTCACACTTCCATGATCCGAGTTCAAGTTTTGGAGACGAATGGTGTGGCCGATTGACACTGGCCAAGATGACAGATGGAAGTGACCAATGGGAGCAGTTGGAAAACTTGGCCAACTACAAGGACACCCCGTTGCCGTTTCGGCCGGTGCCTCACGGGCCAAGGACGACTTTGACTTTCGTGGCTCCAGGTCTGATCAAAGACCGTTTCGTTGTCAGTTCGGAGGTTCCCGTCAGCCAGTATCCACTTCTCAATGGAGAGCCAGCATCATGGCCTGAAGATGATCAAGAAGACCAAGAAGGTGGTGAGGCGCCATGGCTGGCAGCTGGAGGTGGAGAAAGACCCGAGATTGCGGAGGATGTTCACTTCGTTGACCCTGATGAGCTCGAGGTCAGCATCGATGAACTGACGTTCAACAAGGACAACAAGCTGAAAGATCTCCAAGACATGTGTCGGAAGCTTGGATTGCCCACTTCAGGATCAAAGGTGAAGGTACTGAAGAGATTGAAGCAGTACAAACACCACGAAGAGGAGAAGATTGCCTACGAGATTGCACAGCGCCTCTACAGTGAACAGAGAAGAGAGGCAATCCCTGTGAAGACGCCCAAGCTGCCGACCAAGCATGAACAAGAACTTCATCAACTCACACATTTGCCATTCCAAGCATGGTGCCAACAATGTGTGGCAACAAGGGCCAAGGAAGATGTGAGGACTGATGCTGACAGTTCAGATCGGAAAGATCGTGGCCGCAACGTGATCAGCTTTGACACGCTTTGATTATGGCTACACGTGCACATCCGGAGCAGCCGAAGAGAAGCAATGGGGCACTGCACTCTATGTGGCTGAATCTGAATCCAAAGCCGTGTTGTGCATACCTGTTCAGGCAAACTTCAGTATGCAGGTGTGCAACACTCAGCCCACGGAGATTCGGACAACCTCCCGTGAACAGCATGCAAGCAACGGGCAAGCTGAGAGGACAGTTCAATCTGTCCGGAAGCTGGCGAACACACTACGGAGCTTCGCGGAGGAGATGATCAATGGCTGCACTTCCTTTGAGGCCTTGACAGACAGGAAGTACAATGGAAAGGTGGCATTGTGGGGCGAGACCGTCTTGTTCAAGGATGTCACTGCCTTCCGCAACAAGGGAGATCCTGTCTACAGGAAAGGGGTTTGGATTGGCAAGAGCGCATGGAGTGACAGCCACATCTGCTTGACTCGTTCAGGTGGAAGCCCGATCGATCCGGCGCCTTCCTGACCAATTTGATGGACAGATGCTGGTGAACAGTAAAGGTCTACCTTGGCAATACTCCATCCAGGGCATCTTGATGAAGTCTCGCTTTGCAGCTAGGCAGCGCCAAGCTGAAGCAGTTGAGGATGCTGAAGGAAATGAGATGATCGAGCATGAGGCCAAGACTGTTGGTGAAGAAGTGGCATTGGGCATGTATCAGTACTTGGTCAAGGGACGCCAGGCTTTCCAGTTGAGGGGTATCCCAGAACACCAGGGATGACTCCTAAGCCAGCCACACCAGCACCAAAGACACCAGCAAGGCCGAGAGCAGTGCCGGCAACACCAGCCAGGCCTATGACAGCTCCAGCAACACCAGCTACAGAGCAGACTTGGCGAGAGAAAGCACGAGCAAGACCTTTTCCCACAACGGCTGAGGATGAAAGTCCATCAAAGAAGAGCAGTAGACTCCCAATTCCAGAGTCTATGAAAGGTGAACCTGCACGGAACTTCATGCAGGACTCCGAGACAACCAGCCCAAAGCGCCAAAAGACAGCAGAAGAGCCAAAGCCAGCTGCATCCAGTGAGACTGGAAGACCAACACCAGGGAGCAGCTCAGCAGTGCCATTGCCACAAGGGGCACTGAAGAGAGAATTGTTTTCATTACCCTGGGACGCTGAATATGATGAGAGACTTCGTATGAGCCCCAAGAAGAAAGTGAGGGCCATCCAAGAAGAGTTCCCAGGAGGTTTTGGACATGCTGGCAGAAGAGATTTTGCAGTCAGCGCTGAATGATGTGAGTGAAGATGAGGAAGGTGATGGCCACGCAAAGGATCGACCTCCAGAAGTGTCGGATGAGGAGCTAGCAGCCTTAGATGATGAAGCTTGCCGCCATGAAGAACACCGTCTAGAGCAGATGGGTGTGCTGGAGAAGATGAAGGACGGTGAGCCAGATGAAGAAGGGCTCGTATGTCCCCACCAGCAAGATGGTGATCACCTGGAAATTCCGGGATGAGCAGGGCGGATGGTTCAGGCGAGCCAGATTGGTTGGACGACAGTTCAAATGGAGTGTTTTCACTGAAGATTCATTTGCGCCAACCTCAGCTTCAGTGGTGGTCAGGATGTTGCTACGTCTACAAATGCAGACAGGCTTAGCTCTCTACACGCTGGACGTGAAAGATGCCTTTTTGCTCATGGACCAACCAGCTGATGAGAAGGCCATGATTGTGACCAATAACGGCCAATACAAGTTGAAGAAGAATTTGCCTGGGCAGAGAAACGCAGCTGCACAGTGGTTCAAGGGATTCTGCGCAGTGGCCAGGGACTATGGTATGGTGCAGGACGTCATGCAGCCGACCATGATGAAGAAAGACAAGAAAACCAAGGATGAGGACAACGGTCGACTTTTCCTCACCATCCACGTCGATGATTTGCTGTTGATTGGTGATGAAGAAGAAGTTGAGCGCTTCATCAGCTACATGGAACAGAAGTCCTGGAAAGTGGAGAAACGTGGTCCATTGTATCAGGGAAACTTCAGCTACCTCAAGCGCAACATGGAAATGATAGAGAATGGCATCGTGATTCGCCCAGACAAAGAGCACATCAAAGCATTGGCCAAGGTGACCAACGTGGAAAATCGAAAGTTCCGGACCACTCCGGGAGATGGCAACTTCACGAAGTTGAGCAAGGATGATGAGCCAATGGCAGCTGAAGATGTGACAAAATACAGGAGTGCTGTTGGCAAGATCTTATATATTGCCCCAGATCGTCCTGACATCCAATTTGTCGCTCAGGGACTTGCAAACTTGATGCAGCAGCCAACTAAGAAGGCATGGAGGGCAATGCAACATGTGAGTTCCTATTTGTTGGGGACCATCGCCGAAAGCATTTTGCTGGAGCATGGTCCCAAAGGAAGAAGTGTCCTGAATGTCAATGAGGACATGCGTGAATGGGAAGATGACTCCAAGGCCAATTTGCTCGAGGTGATCTGCGACGCTGACTACGCAGGACAACAGGCCACAAGGAAGTCAGTGAGCTCAGTTCAACTGTACTTGAATGGAGGATTGATGGAATCCTATGTCAGATGTCAAAGATGCATAGCACTTTCTTCCGGAGAGAGCGAATATGTGGCCATGGTTGGAGGATGCAGCGAAGGACTTTTCCTGAAGCATTGCTGGTCCTTTCTGACTGGAGAGTAGATCAACATGGTCTGCAGAAGCGATTCCTCAGCTGCTCGAGCGTTGGCAGGTCGGATTGGAGTCGGACGAACTCGTCACATTGCAGCCGGACTTTTGTGGTCGCAGGAGAAGACAAATGCCAAGGAGTTGAGGATCACCGGAGTGCCTACGTCCATCAACGTGAGTGACATTGGCACGAAGATCTTGAGCAAAGCCCGCGTGAAAGGTTTGAAGTTCCTCATCAAGAGGGTAGATGGGGACAATGAGAAAATTGGCAAGCAAGAGTTTGAGGAAATCCACGCCAAAGAAGAGCTGAAGAAGAACACGGGCAAGCTGGCAAAGGCAGTTGGTGGAAATGCAAGGATCGCATTGGTCCTAGCTTTTACGATGCTGCAAAAGTGGCAAGGCATCAGAGATGCATGAGAAAAAGGAGATTGAAGAGAGCGAGGAAGCATGGTGGATTCGGCCATTGCTCACACTGGTATGCCTAGCAGTGGTTGGAGCCTTGAGCTTGACACGATGGCTATGGGAGAAAGGAAGACAGTGGTTCAATGGAAGACGAGTCCACGATGGCAGAACTATGGCAAGACAAGAACCAGAAGAAGAGGAGCAGCCACAAGAACCAAATGAGGAGACTGACATCGAGAAGGTGAACATGCAGTGGCAGATTGTGCGTTTAGAAGTGGCCATTGCAGAAAAGGACGAGTACCTGAAAGAGGTGACCGAGGAGAAAGACAGGATGATGAACGAGTACCTGAGGTTTGCAGACATGAACGTGAACCTCAGGGGTCAGCTTGATGAGCTTCGAGAGGAGAACTTGGGGCTGACCAACCGTCTCCTACGAGGAGGTGGAAGCAGGGATGAAAAGGAAGAAGAGATTCGAAGGCTGAATGAAGAAGCCAAACGAATGAAAGAAGCAAACGAGCTGCTGAAGGCACGCATTGGAGAAGTGAAGCAACATGCAAACACAATGGTGAAGCAGAGTCTCGATGGAGTGAAATTTGCGATGGATCGCAAGCGCTGGTTCATCACCCAAACGGGTGAGTGCTACCACGCACAGGACTGCCATTTCATAGCCAACCGAGCTGTGAGGCAGATCAAACCCTGCAGCCATTGTGTGTCTGAAACCATGCGGGCCGTGACAGAATCTAGCACTAATCAAACGACATGATCAGGTCATATGGTATCAGACACGCATTGGCATGCACTTGTACTGCGCACCAGGCCCAAACCGAGCACGCAAAATAGAGTGCACCGCTTTTCATCAGCCTTTGCTCTTCAACTCTGTCTGCAAGTTCTTCGGCATATGGCGATGGCTGAGGTGGTGTCCTGCTCAAGGATGCATCACTCCACAACGCGTCAGGGATCACTCCAGGCTTCGGATCTTCAAGGTCTTCTTCTTCATCCTCTATTGCCAGAGTCTCAACATCCAAGACTTCGTCCAAGTGGTACATCTTGTCTCCTTCCAGGTTCACCTCCTCAACCCTTGTCTCCATCAGCTCCAACCGTGTAGTGCTCGGAGACGAAGTAGCCCCTTCCACTTCAATTCTCTGTCGCTTGGCTTCTTGAATTCGAGGCTTCTTGGCTTCAGGCTGGATCTTGACTGCCGAAAGGCGGTGGGGGTGTGTTTTTCTCAAAGGTCTCTCCTCCTGAGTCCCCTGTTCATCATCCCATGGAACCATAGGAACAAACTTCTCTGAGCCCTCTCCTCCAGGATGTTCTGGAACAAGAACTGGAGTTGTTGGCAATCCTGAACGTTGCGGGCTCGTGGGGCTGGTGCCCCACCTTCAGCTGCCAAGGTGCCCAAAACTTCCTCTTCTGGTAAGCCAAGCGTCAATTGGACTTCTTGGATCTCACGCTGGGCCTCTTCTTGGCATTCCCTCGACTTTGCATAGTCCTCCACAGTGTTGGCCTCTTCATCGACCTCCTTGTAGATTGTTGAATCTGCTGGCAAGCTTCCCCTCCTCATGTCCAATGCAATTGGACCAACTGCTCGCTTTGATGGGACAATGCGTCCACCAAAGTTCACCTGAAACTCCCAGCTGTGCGCAGTGAAATCCCTGAAGTAGGTCATGAAGTTGGACCATGGCCTGTCAATGCGTCTCACTGACCTTGTCAACAGCACATTCGGCCCTTCTCCCACGACTCAAGCATCTTGGCCCTCGGTCTTGCCCAGTAGGATTGCCATCCGCCACTTGGGGTTGCCTTCACCTGTAAAGAGGCTTCAGGTAGGCATACACTGGACAACCAAATGGAACCAGTGGTGACTCGTTCGTAGGATTTGCCCTGGGTCAGCTCGAAGCTCGTCACCCCCCTGCTGGCCTGGTACCTGTTCAATGTCCATGCTGCATGCCGCGCCGCCCAGCTCCACAAAGCATGGTTGCTATTGAACCTCAAATAACCTTCTTCATCAGTGACCCCATGAGAATCCCAGCCAGTCCTTTGATGCGCTGGATGGCATTCTCTGCGAGTGAATTGCCTGCGGAGTCCTTCACCCGGGTCGTATAGATCCTTGTACGCAGACCAAGTGCATGGCGAGATTTCAGCAAGATACGAAGCAAAGCTCTCATCGTTGGCTCGAGTCTGCATATAGAGTCCAACTCTGTATGGCCGAGGTGCTGTATGAAGGTCATGGTCTCCCGGCGCGTGAGGCTCAACTGTTCCTTCGGCTGTAGAGCGACTGCGCATAGTGACCCAGTTTGGCTGCATGATAGAACAAGCCATAGCGCCGTGTTGACCTCCTTGAATCTCATCTCAGCTCCTCCAGGTAAATCTCCTTCGTGACGTTCAGCTTGCTCTTGCTGTAGATCCACCACTTCTCTTCCATCTTCCTCCATGGCCACTGGCATAGGTCGGTCCGTCTCACCAGCCTTCGTGTAGCAGAAGTCCATGCTGATGATTGGAATGCCAGAAAGTCGTGCTGCCCCAGTACGCAGGTGCCTGTCTGGTCGGCCATGATGCATCAAACATGTCTCGCACCAGGGTTGGTATGGAGTATGTGTCAACTCACGCAAGAATTGCTCGGCTTCTGAAGGCACCTTCACCAACGGCTGAGGTGTTGGGTGCCTAGCCACCTCCATCTGGGCTGCCGCAACTGCTGATGCTGCTGCCTTCAACTCCAGCTCCTTGATGTGGCTGACCAACCGTTGATAGCACTTCAATTTGCTCCCTGAGGTGCTGATGCCATAGAAGCTGCATGCGGCCCTCAACTCTTTCAATCTAGTCTCTGGTGTCAGTTCAATGCCATTGACCAGCAAACTGCCAGGCATAGCTCCTCCTGCCACCAGACGTGCTTCTTGTTCTTCTCCCTCAATCCTGAAAGGCTCATCATGTGCCCCTGAGTCACCTCTGCCAGCATCCACTGCCAGCATCTACTGGCAATTCATCTCTCCATCTCCTCAGTGGTTAGGGTGTCCTTTGTCAGGATGGTCATTGTCAAAACGTTCTCATTCTTGGCTTCCTCAATCAGCTCCTCCTGCTCTGTAAGTCCGTGCAATGCCTCACAGAGCTCAACGAGTTGCCATCGACCTTGAACGGGTCGTTCTGAACCAGTCCACTGTAGCATCGATTGCTCCATGATACTGAGGTGTCTGGAGCTTCCTTCCCAGATGGACCCCAATCCACCTGTCTCCAGACCTTGTCCAACCACTCTGAGCTCTGGCAGTGTCCTCCAACTCCTTCATCAACGTGGCCTCCAACACACGGACCATGCACGGTGCTGTCTGAATTGCCCGCACAAATCCTTGTGCAATGAGGCTCTTGTTCTGTAACTTCAGCGGGATTCGAATCTGTTGAGGTCCTCCTCCATAGGTCAAGACTTGGTCCTCACCGCTGATTCCCCTTCCTGCCTGCATCATCTTTCCAAAGGAGAGGGTGGGCTGGTTGATGCCCTCGGCAAAATGTCCTTTTCTCGTGGATCTGGATCTCCTTGCCCTGCTCAGTCTTGAAGCAGAAGCAAACATTCTTCTAAGGATGTGTTCTCCTTGGGCGTCCTGAAGTCGAGGTGCTGATTCATTGAGCTCAGCCCCAACTCCAAGAAATGCTGCTGGAAGGATTGTAGCGTCAGCTCCAGAGCCAACAATGATCTGGCATAGCTCATTGGCGCTCTCGAAGTATTCGTGCTCTCCAGCCTGAACCACGCAAATGCCCGTAGGAATCTCCTGTTCTTCCATCTCGGTCACCTCATCCACGTCCATGTTGTAGAAATTGATCATCCTGACGTAGACTCATTCTCCTCACTCACCGACCTGAGGTCAAAGACTGCCAACTGTCAACTGATTGAATTCTTGTGAAATGTCTTGTGATACTTCTGCTATCCTCTTGATCGATTGGGCTTTGGTTGCTGTCGTCTGTGAACTATTGCTGGATGCCTCAGCCTGGGTCATAGTCGAACTTGGCCAGGTTTCCCACATGTGAAGCAAGTCTTCACTGGGGATTCCTTCGGCTTTCCTTTTTCATCTCCCTTCTGACCCTGTCTTCCCACCATCTTGGCCCTTACTTGTAGATTTGCCCTTGCCTTTGGTGCCTTTCTGATCTCCCTTCCCTTTGCCTTTGCCAGCTCCTCCACCATATTTGCCCTTGCTCTTGGACTTGCCTTTGCCTTTGTCAGCAATGCGGTCGATCTCCATAAGGGCAAGGCCGTTGGGATCTTGTCCAAGGATCATGGCATTGGACCACTTGGTGGTAACATGGTCATACTGGATGATTGCCTCCCTCAACCTGCTGTAGCTCTGGGTCCCCGCCACCTGCAATTGAAGCCAAGTCTTCAACCCGCCGCTGACACAACGCATAAGGGTGGCGAACTTGATGGTCTCATCTAGTCGAGCTCCTGTTTTCTCGTATTCAGCATAGGCCTCCTCAAGCTTGAGCAACGCTGCCTTTCCTCATGTCGAACTGGTCCCTTTCCTCAGGGACCGGTTCTTGCTGGTTGGTTCAAGACTTTGGACCAGCAATCGACAGGAAGCTGCTTCGATGTCGTTCTTCACTTTGAAGATCCACTGCAATCTCCCTCTCTGGATTGGCCCTCCGGCCCGCCGGTCTCCCGGCTCGCCTCCTCCCCTTTTAAAAAGGGGTCTGTGGCTTGGATTTGGACGCTTTTCGCCCGGAAGCTGCCCGGCTCACCAACAGCTTGGCTTCTTGCTCCCTGACTTTCAGCACGAGAAAAGGCTTGCGAAAAAAAGTGGCATGCGCCTAGCAGTTGGAAGATCTGGGTGATGTACTCAACAAGATCGTTCCAGGCCGAAGAGAGGGAGCAGAAGAAGAAAACATTGTGTCAGAAGGAAGAACGCCAAAAGAATCAGGACATGGAAAAAAGGACCAATGTCGATTCGTTTTGGACAGGTGCCATCTCAATGACAGCCAGTCTTCACGGATGGCAATCTTCCGAACCGATCTCCCTGCCCCATTGGAACTTGCTCAAGAGT